CGTCCGTGGGGAACATATGCTGGAAGATCATTTGTGAAGATGCTGAAGAGGATGGGACCAACTAAGGAGCCCTGTGGAACACCGTGAGACAGAGGCAAGGATAAAGACCCGCCTCTCACTACCTGTTGCCGACCAGACAGGTAGCTTCGGAACCAATTCGGATCTATTCCATACCAGCAGAGTTTCGTAAGGAGGACGTCGTGATCAACGCTATCAAAAGCGCGGCTCAAGTCAATTGAAGTTACAGCTACGATGTCACCCTCGTCGATGCGCCGCGTCATCCACTCGACAGCATCGGTCAAAGCATCCTCCGTCGAATGAGCAGCTCTATATGCATATTGCGAATTGACCAACAGGTGATTGGTAGCAAGAAAGGACGACAGCTGCATACAAACAACTTTTTCACATAACTTCGAGAGCACCGACAGGAGAGAGATGGGCCGGAAATTACTCGGGTTATCTATGTCGCCGGACTTATGAAGTGGTACGACGGTCGCGAGTTTCCATGATAATGGAAAATGACATGATATTATCGATGCATTCACAATATGCAGCAAGTGTGGACCAATCACAGGAAAACATGCTCTGATTGCGTGTAGTGGCACACCGTCATGCCCCACTGCTTTAGATGCAGACAACTTTCGCAACGCCAAAGACAGTTCTGACAGTGTAGCCGGCTTCAGGCGCAGACCCGCTGACGTCACACGCGGCGGCCTTGGCGGGAGCCGAGAGGGACCGCTGACGGCCAGCTCCGCAGCAATTTTCGATCCGACGGTGGCGAAATGACGATTGAACTCATCTGCCTGTTCTGTCGGCATCCCACAGCTGCCTTTGTTACCCTTTGTTACCCTTACCTGACACTACGTCTAAATCGATTTAGCGAAATTTCACGTGCGTTTTTCTCGGAAACTATTTACCTTATGCAAAAAATGAGCGTATATATGGTTTAAGCTAGCACCTAATCCTATATTTACATTTTTAAATTATGCCTAAATGCTATGATGGAGCAAATCCATTTTTCAAAATCGGCTTAGCTTGTGTCATGGAAACGTAGCCAATGTCGTTGACATACAAGTGGCCCTGCCTGAACCCTTGTCAGGAAGACAGTCCTAACCGACGTTCTAGGTATAACGAACTACACTGGTGTGTCACTGTCGGGTGTGATTGAACCGTCCCCGGCTGTCAATCCATGCTCCCTGCTCGGTCACGGTCACAGACTCACACTCGTCATCCGTGACAGGTCTGCACCAACCGACAGGCCCGTGAACCTCCGACAGGGTCACTGAACGGTAGTCGACACCCCTCCCCTCTCCCTCCCCTACTGAGGGGAGGGAGTGGGTAACCTTTCGAGGAACGCGAGGTCAGGGTGGGGTCACGGGAGGGGAGAGAGAGAGAGAGAGAGAGAGAGAGAGAGAGAGAGAGAGAGAGAGAGAGAGAGAGAGAGAGAGAGAGGCGGCAGAGGATCCAACTGAGCCGTGAGACGTTAACCACTATGAAACAGCCATCAGCCAGCCCCAGGGCTCAGAGCACGCCATTGTGCGCATTGTAACGCCTGTTTAACGGACGCTCTCATCTGGCATGACATTCCCAAACGGGCCGTCGGCCATTACGCCGGTTTGGGGCTGTCATTTTGATCCATCACCGCAGCGGTATTCGACGCTATTGACGTTGTCATGGTAACATCAATAGCACTGCTCGTACCGGGTCGGTACTTGCATCATAGCTGCCCGGCCTGGCCGCTGTTGTGCGTGTATTTGTACGATGTTAATACGCAATATGCAGCACACATCTTTCGGGAAATGATGTTCTGAAAAGCTGGCTCACGGAAATTTCGTGACGGCTGGTCTGAGCCACGGAAGAGATCGCGATCGTCACACGGAACCGTCACGAAGTGACGGTAATTGAAGTATAATTACGGTAACAAATTGGACACGCACACGCACTGTAATTAGAGGTTATGTATGCCGCATGCCTACTATTACGTCACGGATTGTACGCACTGTGACATGGAAACCCGCGCGACGTGTCGGGTGCTGCCAAATGCTTCCAGATCTACCACGTTGTCTGACGGGCCCTGTTGGGACAGTTGCGTTCACTGGAACCGACATGTGTTCACCTGACACAAAAGACTGACCTTGGCCCAGTTCTGAGTCGGGCAGCGCGGCCTCTCTGTACTGACAACTGCTGAGTCGAGTTGCTGAGTCGCTCTGCAGGGAAGAAGGGAACGGGTGTGGTTAGAATGGAGGACAGTTCTAACGGGAAATTCTGCTCCCTGGCGGACACTAACTGAAATGGTGACACACCTGGGCCTTGTCGAACATGCCGGGCCCCCGAAATAGCATGGCGACAATGACGATAGACCGTGTCGATCGCGATGTTTTTGGTATGTCATTCTTCCCTATGTTGTCACTGTCAGGACTATCCTGAAGCCGCCATGTCCTGCTGTTTCCAACAAAATGTAGCACAGTTGATCGGGCGCCATACAGATGTTCCCGGGCAGTCCTGTGGATGGCTTGGTTCCATTGAGCAGCCTTGAACCGGATGTGACAGCGTCGTCTCGCCCCCCTCTTCCCCCCCCCACCGGAACTAGTCTGTCATGTCCCTCACCAGTCCGCGCAGCTGCCTCCCCCTCCCCTGCCCTCCCTCCCGATGGCTGCGCAGCAAACGCCACACCTACGTCACATCTACGTCACACCTCCGACGTCATAACAGGCGCAGACCGTCAAACTTGACCATAATATATCCCAGTTGTGTGCGCGGCCCAACCTGGCCTGTCGAGCTGCTTCAAACAGCTCCCAGTGGCGTGAGTTCCCAGCGCACGTGACTGGAATTTGGGGCCACTCTTGACTCGAACGTCCGGGCGGCCGGCCGGAACGGAACACATTCCTGAGTACCCGTCCCCACCGCCTCCCACCAGACCCCGAGCGCCGAGGACCGGGTCTTTTGTTCCGGCCGCGGAAGCCGCTCTCGAGGCCTGCTTAGCTGTGCGGCGGGAATCTGTGCCATCGCTGACGAGCGGGACCGAGCTCGGGCAATCGCTGACTGCTGCTGATCCCACTGTGCGTCTCCGTTGAGTCAGCGCTGTCGTGAACCAATCATAACGGCCAGTGGGCCGAGACGGCACGATGCGCCGATCGACATCCACTCGCAGATGGGTGAATATATCGAGCTGGTTGTCTGTGCTGTCGGTTTCCTGCTCAGCTCAGAAAACTCTCATTCCCTGCTGAGAGCCACTCTGAATTCAGCCACCGAACCAGTTTATCGTATTTCTGCCATTAGACGGGCAAATAGATTCAGCCGATGGGTGGGCTCCGTTTGGACCGTCAGCCGGCGGAGGGTTTTGTACGTGATTGGAGCGCTGGCTGCGTGCGCTGCCCTCGTCACTGCTCTTCGACAGTCGTCTCTATGGGATCCAACTGCGCTCATTGTCCGTCTGAACCGGAGCTCCGGCGGTTATTGTATCGGAAACAACATTTCATCGCGAGGAACAGCGGCCCGGAATGGCTGAAACCTTTCTCCCCTCCCTCTTTTGAGCGTTTCTTTTCGTCTGCGCTCCGCAGTTCTTTTTTATCTCCCTCGCCGCCCCTTCCCCTCCATCTTTTTTGTTCGTTTTTATGTTGTCGTTGTCTGACGGTAAATCTCGATGTTCAATAATTCTTCCGGTTTGCCGAAAGGGATGCAGTAAAGCTTGTATAACCGTGTTAACATCGTGCATATCCGTCTTCCAGCGAGGCTTCCTTTGTTTGTGTCGGAGATACTTATCTGGAGATTGCTGCCGACAGCGCAGTCTTGGCACGAAATGTTGTCTCGGTTTTGGCACCGCTCCGCCCCCTTTGCTCGTCAGAAATACGAGCAGCACAAACAGATGGTGTAATCAAGTTGAATTCGAAACCCAACTCGGCTTGTGCATTAATTCCCCACAAACACGTCTCAAGGTATAATGAAACATAAGTAACGGTTTTGTCGCGGGCGACAAGAAATCCTATTCCTGCTGGCATTTCTCCTTTTTCCTGTTCGTGTAATCTGTACTGACGGGTGAGTTGCACCATCCGGCTGTGTAACAGTTCACCGGTTATCCGCCGCTTGCGTCATCACCGAGAGTTCTCTCTCTTCACGGATGCCGCTGTATGTATGTATGTATAACCGACGATTACCTATGTGCAGCCGAGCCCACTCAACGCCTATTGACTGGACCGTTGCGTAGCGGCAAGGGCTGTCCACACATGCCTGGTTCGCTGTGTTTGGATAGCCCCGAACTGCACGGGCGGACAGCTCGGCCCTCCCCCTCTCCTCTATCCCTCCCGCCCTCTCTCCTCCCTCTCTATCCGTCCCGCCCCATCGTTCTCACCACTCCGACCACGTGTCCGAGCCGACGGTCACGTGCAAACACGTGTGACACGCGCCGACCGGTCAGCGACACGTGACTACTGGATTGGTCACCGTCAGCTCGAAACTCACACGGTTAGTGAGTGTTGCAGGTCACGTCGTGGCTGACAGCTGGTGGTTGGTTAGGTAGTGGAAGGGAGAGGGATGAGGCGGAATACGAGGATGGAGAGGGAGAGGGAGAGAGCAAGGGTGATGGAGCAGAAGAGAGGACGAGAGAGGGAAGAGGAGAGGGGAGTTGTCGGAATGTGGGTCAGAGTTGTCAGAGTGGGCGAGGTTAGCAGCGCGGGATAAACGGAGTACCACCGCTGCAAGGATGAGACAGACTGGCACACTCTCCAACCCTAGTCTTTGTCGAGCTTCTACCGTTATTTGACGGAGGCAGGGGATGGTCACATGTCAAACAATCAGTCAAACCAGTGACAAAGTTCAACCAGCATCTGTTACGAAACATAACCGACTTATGAAAGGCGCCTGTCGTGGGTCCTGGAATGTGTCTGCGTGTGACTGTTGGTGGCTGGTGTGTATGTGCGTGTGCGTGTATGCGTGTGGTAACGTCAGGAAGACATGCCCAGTGCCGAGCGAGGCCCTAATCCTTGCCGTACTGTGTGTTACAGACTGCGGACGCATTCGACCTGGCCCTGAACATTCCTGTGGAGCAGGAGTGCCGTATGTCCCAGCAGGTGAGCCCTCCGAGAGCCCCCCTAAGAGCCCTCTGAGGCCTCAGCCCTCCGTCCGAGCCCTCCGCGCCTTGCGCCTTGCGCCTTTCGAGCCCTTCGCAACCTCAGCGACCATCGTGCCCTGCAAGCCCTCCGTGCCCTCCAAGCTCTCCGAGTCATTTCCCAGCCGTCCGCGACCATTGCACCTGACATAGCATGATGGCCGTCTTTGTACAAAGACTGGCCGGGGTATATTGGATTGGGATTCGCGGATGAACACGTTTTACCCTGGTGGTGGTGAACTTTGAGCACTGGCTGAATTTGCCGGTCTATACGATGGGGAGACTTACGATGACTTACGATGACTACGGAGACTTACGATGGGGAGACCTGGAGTTGGAGTCGCGCTATTTTCACTGATGCGCCGCGCTATGACTTTGCTCATTGCTCAATCATCACAGCGGTCTGTGTTCGAATTGACTGGAATTTTCTGCCCGGAGCCATGCAGTCTGTCCTATTCCCCTCGGTGGTCTGTGTTTAGCCTTCAGTGCTGACTGCACATTGCACCGTTCCCTGCCAGTTCCTGTCACGAAGAACATCCTGCCCTGACGAACAACCCCTCTGACCTGAATATCGTTCGACGCAGACCGACCCAACACCAGACGAACGGCCGAAAAACGGACATCAACACTACTGACGACGTGACGAGCCAGGTGGACGGATTGACAGAACAACTGTAGTGAGTTGCGTCGACTGGCGTGATCGGACGTGAGCTGATCTGACCTGGTTTGACCTGACATTACTTAGAGCGAGGTGGAAAGGCCTGACCTAACCGGACTTGAAATTGTGTTTCCTAGAATTACTGTGCTGATCTGATCTGACAATCTGTTCCTCTGGGAAATACTTACAATTGGCTTTCGTTGTCAGTAAGCTCGATGTCGATTTCATCATGCTTTCTTCATTGTGTTTCGCTGAAAGTTACAACATCCGGGTTTCTGCTATTCTCCTCGTACATTGAGCCGTGGTGCTTTGTCAGCTGTCCTCTCCCTCTCCCTCTCCCTCTCCCTCTCCCTCTCTCCTCCACTCCATCCACTGTGCCATCCCCCTGTCACTCTCCCTCTCTCCTCTCCCCTCCCGCCATGATCCCCTGCCTGCTCTACCCCGTGCAGTTGCTCCCAACTTGCCGCTCAGCTGGCGGGTCGTTCCGGCCCCCTTGTGACGTCACATGCCCCGGGGCTGTTTGTTGCGTGTTCGCCGTCGAGTGGTGTAATTGTACGGGAAGCGTGCTGAAACATCGCACGCTATCATTAATCGACGTCGCTGCTGCTACGAGGGGTCACCGGTGCCGGTGCCCAGGAGTTAGATGGAGCACTGAGGCTCTGATTAGAGTGAGAGGGACATTGAGCCCCTGATTGAGGGGAGGGGGGGGGAGGGATCGACTGCCCTGGGGACGAGGGTGACGGCGGCTGTCGGACATTTGGAGGGCGATTTGTTAGCGGCTATTTGGATTAGGTTGTTGAACTTTGCCGACGAAGCTTTTCTCTTTCTTGTGTAGTTTGATTGAGTTCTTTGTTCAAACTCTGAGCCCGTCTCCAAAGTTGAGTCGTGATTTACGTCTTATTGCATCTTCTGTCCACCATTATGTATGCGGATTGCAGATTTAAGAGGATACGTTCGGATCACCATGTATAAACACGATTTATTTGTTGTTGCGACTGGTTTTTGTCTCATTTATCTCGTCACGGCCGTCAGAGGGGAATGTTTACCATTTTACCCGGGCTGTATTTTGCAACAGCGATGTTATCGCGGCCTATCGCTGGGTACGTGGAACCGGAGCGGACGGCCGCGCTCGGCTAGGAGACGAATGGCCGCTGATTTGGGCCCGATTCGGTCTCGGCACTGCTCCTCTTCCCGTCAGAATCTGTCGCTGATGTTATGGAAGTTTCCCCTGAGCACCCTGTTGAGAAGGTGAACTGAATGGTGCTGAGTGCTGACGATAACGTAATGCGCCAGTATTTATAGGATTTGGGACTCGATATGCTGGTCAAATTGAGTTTCGTATGCTTCACTTTGTCATTTTTATTGAGTTGATCTATAATTGTGCCTTGCATTTTGCCTCTTTCATATGCTGCCAGTGTCTTTCGTAGTGCCGGTGCAACTTTGCCGCTCAGTATCACTTAAGCTGTTACAACGGCATTGCGCCTCTTGAATAAGTAATTGGATAAGTGCTCGTTTCCAAAGAGATGTCAAACATTCATTAAATTTTACCCGGGTCCCTCGCTACTCCACTTATGTTTTCCTCTGATGCTTTTTTGTTCCGTCGCGCTGCTATGCCTCCGGGTCCAGCTGTTAGAAAGAAGTGTCGCTAGTGTATAAACACGACTGGAAAAGGAAGACAGGCGATGTGACACAGCTGTGACTGCAGGCCCGATTATGTAGTGATTAGTTACAGAGCCGTTCTGCCCTGCCAACACGTGGCCCAGTCTGCGGAACTCGACTTAAATGATGCAATTTCCAGGAAAGGAATGACAAGGAAGCCTTTCAGAATTGCAGGACTACTTTTCCAACATCTGAATAGGAAATGTACACACTTGGTCTGTGCTGCACCGTTCTGCTGACACTGAAGAAGCTCTTACTTGTGCCAGAAGCTTAGTCGAGCATACCACACTGTCTCTATGCAAACGTCGTAGTCGTTGAGTGGGTCAAACAACCCGTTGAAGTCTGAAGCGTGGTGTCAACTCTAAACCCTCCCCCGCACGTGTTCTGAGACAACCGATCACTGCTTAAAGGGACTGTCCCACCTTAACATTAGATTTGAGTTGAGATAGCCATCTTGATGGACGTTCTTTGAAAATCAGTGCCGTGAAAACCGTTTCTCCAGCAATTACTTCATCGCAAAGAAATTTGAGTTTGATTTTGACATCTGTGCAAATAAGTGCCACAATGTATTGGTATAGGCACTTAAATCTGATGACGTCATCAGGCTTTCGAACGTCCATTAAATGTTTGACTAAAACGTTTTGTAGCACGCGGTGGTATATGCTGCGTTGCGCGCAACAAATGCCGCACTTTTAAATAAAGTCGCTAGGAACAGCGGAGATCCCAAAAAGTAAACAAAAGTAAAAGTCTAATATCTTGAAAACCGGTGAATATTTTTCGGTGAAATTTGGTAGATATTCGTTTTCGCTCTTTCTGAACCGAGCGACATCACTTTCATGCCAATTCATAAACTTTTTTAAAGGTGGGAGGGTCCCTTTAAAGCCACAGCGGATAGTTTTGCCACTGAAAGCTCACGCTACCCCATCGGTTTCCCTCAGGAAGATTTTGACTTTGCTCGAACCTGGCATCCCCCACTAGCGCGAAACTGAACGTCTCAGAGCGGGACGGTGCTGAATCGACGCAACTAAATTCTGAAGAGGCCGCTCACAGGCGTGTAACGCGATTTCGATAACTTTCTGCGGTGTCGGCGCTCTTTGGATGGTTTGTCTGAGCGTCAGCAGACGGGCCACTTGGGGGGGGGGGGGAGCCCCCTCCCCTCCCAGCTGCAGCTCCAGTCTGTGTCAGCGTTAGTAGCTCAGGGAACGAAGACTGGAGCTGCGTGCCAGAGCCCGTGTACCCAACGTGTACCCAACCGCCTCTGCACGGCCGCCGGAACTGGAAAAGGCTCGTCCAGAAATGGATGCGATGCCGCCGGCGCATCCGCAACCGTAATTAGAGCCAATTAACTTGTCAATGGGCGGCGCAGCCCTCTGCTATTATATGGTTGCGGCTATTGTCTGCTGTTTGACAGAGAGAGATGGGTGGCCCAATAACCCATCTTGAGAATAACGAATGTGATGATTCAATGCACTGGAGTTCTGGCCAGTTTTGGATAGATGTTTGTCTTGTCTTATGTTTACTCGGCCCGGTTAGTTAGCATGTAAGAGGCCATAGTAGCTATAAAATAAACATCTTAATTTGGCTCGTTTGCTGATAACTACATTCTGAGCATTATAATTGGCTTCTGGTGAAGCTGACGAAACATCTTAATATTCTAAGCGCAGCTTCCACCTGTTTGTACTTGACGATGAAGTCAAACATAACTAACGGGTGCCGGTATTCTAGCCGTCCGCATTCCATGGTCGCCTTCACGACGAGGCATTTTACGCTGGTGAACTGCCAACGTGGACAGCCTGAGAATCGGTCCCCGCCAGACGGTCGTTGGTCGCTGATGGCTCCCATTTCGTGCCATTTTTATATGCATTCAGGTAGTTCAGGAGCATCGTGCATTGTGTAACCAGCGTCGTCATTTCGCTTATGCCACTCGTAACGGGATGAAAGTCCTAACGGTCGCCCTGATGACATTGTGGGAGAAGGCAATTTATTTTCTCATTTCATTCGGGCACCGTCGGACGATTATGTTGTGAATTGGATGAATTACGACGCCGGGAATGTTTAGGGTCATGTTTTGCCCATATGCATTATTCATTTACTGCTGATTGATTTTCTGACAAGCAGCGTGATGCGTTGTTGGACAAAAACCTCCTACGGACTAGGTACATTACCTTGATTAGTTTCCTGAGTCGGACGGGGCGGCGTCTTCTCGCCGATGGAGACGCTCGGGGAGAGAAGGACCAAGAGGCGTGGCGTGGTCGGCAGCGCTCTCGGGACTCAGCGATGACCATAAAAGTCGACAGCTCGGGCGTAGGGCGGCGGCGGAGTCGTGGGTTCCTCTGGCTGTTCGTTCGTGAATTGGTGGCTCCAGTCACGTACCCCTGCTTCTGGTATGAGCTCCCTTACTAAAGCGGCACTCATACGGCCTACCGCTCGCATAGCCATATCGTTATGGAGATGGCGCCCACCTGGCGGTTGTATGACGGCAATTTATGAACCGGCTGCCGCGGACCATGACTCCGTGGGGAAATACACCGAGTAAAACGGAAACGCCACCAAGAAAACGCCCGGTCTGAATAAATAGAGGGGACGCACAAGATCGATACAATAAACAGGGGATGTGTACATATATGTAGTTCTGATACATTCGATAAAGTGTGCCGACTTTTCAAACAAGTATTCTTCATTGCGAAATGACCTGTGTCATTTCTATTCACCATTGCCAAAGTTGTGGTCTCTTGTGTCTGAATTATAAATTTCGGTCATAAGGTTTTCATACAGGGCAGTGTTCGAAGTGAAATGCATTAGTAAAGACCAATTGAAGATCCATTAGGCGAAATGAGAATGGCTGTTGTATGCTGTTCCACTATCGTCAAAGTTATATGTCGCCATACGCGGACTTTTCGATGCTGACATTTTCCGAGAACGCCTATTGATGTCCCTGAACTGGACTTCTGAGAACGATAAAACTTTACTTTTAGTGGCAGTTTTCATCCTGCGATATCATCTCTATGAAATTCTGCGAAGTTGAGCCTGCAAATCTTGATCGGTGTCATGTCCGGCAGTTCACTCGACTTGGGACAGGCGTGGGCAGGGGTGCCGCGAGGCAAAGGGTGAGCTTTGGGATCTGTTTCATATCCCTGTACCGTTCACACTGCACTTGCACGGCCACATGAGTCATAACCTCCCTATTTTTTATCATCCCGCTCCTGCCCTCGTCTTTACTGTTGGTGTGCCCTGTCATGTCCCCTTCCGTGCCCCCCCCCCCTCCACCCGCTCCTACCCCTGGTGTCGCCCCTGCCGGCGCCCCTCCAAATCAATAGTCAGCTGTCCACGCCGCACTTTGAAGTCGGCCACCAATAACATATCAAATATTCATTTATTTCACGCCGCTGCTGCCTGGAGCTGATCATGTGTCGGGCTAGTCTGATCCGGATATCCCCCGGGGCTATGGGACGTGATATTTGTCACTATCGACAAGCAAGGGAGCGTAGCTAGTCTAGTGACAGATTCATCTCGTGTTGGTGAGTCTCATTCTTATTCTGATCGTGTTTTCCAAGTTATTATCTTGTGAATGATGGTTCGCGTATATTTAGATAAGGCATACGAACATGCAATGTTTTTCCCGTAGTATTTCTACAGCACAATTGCTACATTTTGTTATTTGCTTCTCGTTACCCTAGATGATATCACTCTCGAATCATATCGTGTATTTTATTTTGTCCCTTAATAATCGAATTACTGTTTTGGATCGTTTATAACTTAGTCAATCTCCCGTGATATATTTTCTCTGCGGATAATTTATAACCCTTTACTGTCTGTAAAGTACAATGCTTAAGTCTTAGAGGTCATTTTCCGGCCCGATATGCGTGCCTGTGTGCCGTTTGGCATGCAGTATAATTCAGGCACGCTGGTCCATTCCGTACGGTCATGTGAAAGGTTTCCATTACATCAGACAACTTATCTGGCGTATAGCGTCTATTACGGTTGGAAACATCTCCGAATCTGCATGCCATATTCCGTGGACTATCCGATATGCTTAAAATGTAAACTTGTTTCCCATACGCCGAGATATCCCTTTAGCATTATCCTAGCCGTGCGGGAAACATTCGCACGTGATCTTTCCTGCACTGTTTTCCGGCACGGGTTGATGACCTACAGTTCTGGTGATTTTTTGATAAAAATCTTAAAAAAGGTGATTTCAGTAATTAAATTGTGAGTTTCTGAATAGATATTAAACGACGTATGGGAAATATCTTACTGAACTTGCTCTGGGAAGAAAAATGGAAACCTCGGTCTTCAAAAAATCTCCGGCACTCGGCTACGCCTCGTGCCTACAATTTTTCAAAGACCTCGGTTTCCATTTTTCTTTCCCAGAGCCGTTCAGTAATATATAGTACCGTTTTCTTTCATTATATTTGACAGTCATGACAGCCATATTTAATTGCTATTGCTGCTCATTCGTTTTGTGGGGAAGTGAAATGACGCTGGTACTGCTTACACAAGGCATGCGATTTATAGCCAAGTGGCTCGCTGAATTCATAATACACTGGACATAAGTAGGTTATGTGTGCCGCTAGCCATTATTAATTATTTTTAGTTCCTTATTGCAGGACATACTTAACGGTAGTTTACATATGTTTTATAATGCAATGATTATTATGCAATTGAATACATCTTGGATGCTTGATAGATATCTTGTATGCTGTTTAAAACTAGTTAAATAGCTTATTATGCATGAGTTTGCCGAAAGAATGCAATGTGTAGAGATTTTTTGACATCGTGAAAAAGAATGTACGAGCATATGACAAACGTAATGACCATAGTTTAAGTTACTATTTTTAACCTTTCCTCTCCATTCGTGTGTATCTTTTCTTTCACTTTGCGTGTCCACTGGCTTTCCTTCGTTTCAGAGAAGATTTCTTCCACAAATCACAATCCTGGAAGTTTGCCTATTAATCTCTACCTTTTCCGTTGTGCCGTAAAACATGTTTCTGTGATTTGTTATTCCCTGTTGTTTGGCTGAGCATTATTTTCACCGCTGTAGAAAGTTGTACAGGTGAGCCGGTGCCGGTAGAATGCTGATGACGCATTGACGTAAAACCCGCTTTCTGAAGCTCGCTACAAGCTTCAGAAATAACACAGCAATGGGGTGGTCAATAGAAACGGTGGGTAGATCACTGGATTGCTGCTTCATTTATGTGCAAAAAATGGTCGTTCGATATGCGATATCTTTGGTTTAGTTCATTGCTGATCAATATTTGACGTCTCCGATATCGGAGTCTCTTTGTCGGAATATTTGTGGTTTTCACCGGACATCAATGAATGTCGCGATATGAGGCTCAGATTCTCATCAGAACCGTGCGCTATCAGTTTTCACCTTATCGCAGCATCCCTACCGGATAAGCGTCTTCTCTTTCGCGTTCTTTTCTCTTGTTCCATCTGTCTCTCCCTCGTGTCTGTTTCTCCGTTCCACACCACCCCTCCCCTCCGCTCCCCTCCCCTCCCCTCCCCTCCCCTCCCTCCGCTCCCCACGGACCAGTGCCGGTGACACGGCACACCAACCGGCTGTCCCGAGGGCGGCGGCGGCCGGCGGCCCGGCAGCGATTTGTGGGGCTCGTCCAAACCGACAGACCGCCTCGCGATAGGCCCCCCGCCGCCTCCACGGCCGCCGCAGCCGAGACCTCACTCCCACGGCCTCCCCCTCCCCCTCCCCTCCCGTGGCCCGGGGATCGAGCTTCGGACAGGTGTAGACCACTGGCACGCGCCACCGACCACCGACCGACCAACCGCCGCGCCGCCGGCCGCGTCGGGCCGCGAGGGATCAGATTGGAGCCGGGTGGCTGGGGGCGGGGGAGGAGCGGGGCGGGGTGAGGAGAGGCGCGCGGTGGGGACGGGGCGGGGCGGGGGTGGAGGTCGTTTGAGTCCGGTGGCACGTGAACGGCTCAGGCCGGTGACCGGCGGTGCTGCGGCCGGTATGGACGCTGCTGAGCTGCCGGCCGGGCTGCACGGCTGGTGTCAAACGCGTCCGGGCTATCGTGAGCTGTAAGGGGGGAGAGTGAAGGGTACGGATGAGTGATGGTTGATGTCACTGATGACTTTATGATGACTGGAAGCTTGTAATTATTTAGGTTTGATATGTGACGAATGCATGAGGAAATGAACAAAGTTACCTAAATGGAACAAGCAAAACCGACGTGCATTGAAACAAATGGATAAAACAAAAGGCTGCCGGATGAATCGAATGGCCGTTCAATGTTGGTATGGAAAGAGGAACGTGTTGAGCCTTCGATCCCTAACTGACTTCCTTCTCTGTCTTTCCAGACCTATCAGACTCCCAGTCTTGGAGACGAAGAGTTTGACCTACCGCCGCTGCTGTCTGAGGGGGGACAGGGTCAAGGCCAGGGCCAGGGTCAAGGTCAGGCGCCCGCCACCAGCATGTACCCGGGAATGGAGGTGAGTCAGAAAGGGGGACGCTCTGGGTCACCTTGATCGATTGTTGTGTCAATGTGTGTTACATCAGTGGTCACTTTGTCAGTGTGCCAGTTTTGCCACCCACTGTGACAGTTTGCATCCAGTGACGACTATGCGGTCCTTGTAGGCATCCTTTTGTGTCATATCACCGATCTCTGTGTGTCAATATTTTTGGTCAATGGCCATACTTATATCAGAGTTCAACATAACAAGCAATGTTGGCATATGTTTCCTGTTTTGTTTTTTTCTTTCTGTTTTTTTTCGGAACAGGATATCCGTCAATTTCAACCATCGTCTTTTGCAGTCTACCAATACCAACCAACAGCCGACTTGTGTGCCTATTTACATGCAATGCTTCTTTTCTTATTGCGTCAATCCTCTCGTGAAAGCCGCTCGTTTGTGTTATGTCAATTCCTTATGCTCATTATCTCAACACGGAACACGTAAAGGTGACGTGTAAATATAGCATCAGCGCTATTGAGCAGCATCCTGCTAGCGACGAATGCAATAATGAGGCGAGCTATCATTCATCGTCTTCCATGAAACAGGATGTGATATTTTTCTTCTTATACTCCCTCTTATGCTTCTCAGCCCTGCGTGTTTAATATGTATCACAGAGTACCGTGGTTGAACCTCGCCTGTACCGTTCTGTATCGCCTAGTCAGCAAAACTGTGTTCACTGTTGATTGTTGTGTAGATTGCATCGTCCGGATTCGTTGTAAGCTCCGTGTCGTGTGCTCGGCTGATGTAGGCGGACGGAACATGGGAATAGGCGGTCCAATGCGCTGTGTTCCGGACATGAGAGCGATGTGCTCCAATAACGACATAACGGACGAATAATAGATAGCCCACCGCTTCTTACCGTGTCAGAGACAGAGTGATGAGGGGAGAGAGAGAGAGAGAGAGAGAGAGAGAGAGAGAGGGAGGAAGGTAGGGAGGGTGAGAGAGCTGCCATAGCCGCTTGCTGGCGATAAATCGAACAGTACCGAAATCCTAGAGCTATGGTCTACTACAGTGGCCAGTGTTTTATGCATCCGATACATTGTGTGTTGTTTCTAGATGCAATCGGCATTTCGATAGTTGATTGCTTCCTTGATCTGTACTCAGTGGATATGTATGCTGTTGTTTCAATCATTTCCGTCTAGAGCACCATAGCATTATCTATGGTTTCCCTAGTTTTTGTTTCTTATTCGAACCCAATGCTCAGAACTGTGATGCAATACGATTCCATTTGAGCACAATTGTTTGTGTACTGAACTTGAATGTTAAATTATTCCAATGAATATTTAGTGCACATAACTAGATACAGTTCCAAATCTCCGACCGACTCAATCTCCGACCCTTTCTCAATCATGCAAAAGTTCTACCTATAACCTATTTTTAGAAATGTTATTCAATGTTTCATCACACTCACCATCTGCAGGACTTTCCGTTGCATCAAGTCCATCCATTGTTTAATTTAAACTTTTGTGCACTCGTTAGTATTCAATTCTGCTCGTGAATAGCTGCTCGCGGGAACACAGTGCCCCGTGAGTGGTTTGGTTGTTATGTTAGCGCCGTTACCAAGGTACAACGGCAACTGGACCGTAAAACGCTGCCCCTCGCATGACTGGCCCACGTCCAACCAAACTCAGATGTAATTAGATCATGTAAAGTTGTACTGTAACTCCAGGCATTTCTGTTTTCGTTATCGAAAAGATAGTCTCGCGTGCGCGCTTATCATTTGCAAAGTGGAACCGGTTTCCAGCCGGTTAATGGCGTCGCTTGAATTGCTGGCGATTATTCATTGTAAGTTCGCTGTCCAAGAAAACCTTGAACAGCATTCCATTCTTTGCGAGAACGGCTATTTTTAACGTCATTTTTCCTTTGCAATGCTCAAAATGGAGTTGTTCTTTATTAACCCGCGCCCCGCTGGGGGGGGGCAGAATCTGCCCCCCCTCCCGTTTTTCGCCAATAACTTCTAAACGCGTTACGCCAGCGACGTCAAACTTTCAGTACCTTATCATACATCAATTTGACACGTTCCCTGAAAATTTGAACGAAATTCGTCGGAACATTTTTGAGAAATTGACGTTTTAGTGACGTCATGTTCGCCATTTTCGCCTCAAAAACGGCAAAATTTCAAACGCCGCTAACATCTTCATTTTTAAAGGAATCAAGACGTAACAAAAAAGGTTATACGTGATTTCACGTTGTCTATCAAATGGATATCTCGGTTTTTTGAAAATTTTGGATTTTGGCCCAAAATTTTTCAAAAAACTGATTTTTTTGGGAAAATAGTCATAAAATCCAAAATTTTGAGTGTATCGAAAAAACCGGAATATATGTCAGAGAAGTGGTCAATGTGCATCTACATACTAATTTTCAGAAGAATCGGTTCAAAAATGTGGGAGTTATTCAAAATTTTATGACGTCACGACACACAAAATTTTTGAAAAATGATTTTTTTGGAAGTTCTAGACCTCGTACGGAAACAAAAATAGCACCATTCGATTCGCCGTGAAAAACTGCATCAGATAGACACCTTTTTGGGCCTTAACAACCAACTTCAAAATTTGACCTCACTTGACCTGACCTTGACCTGACCTCGACCTGAAATTCATCCAGAGGTGGTCCATATCACTTATTGAGTGTGCCTATTGAATTCTATGAGTAAAATGAACCATAAAACATGTGTCGCACATGCCCTTTTCTATATTTTGTTTTTGGTGACCTGACCTGACCTGACCTGACCTTGACCTTGACCTTTGAATGACATTGTATGCAACGAATATTGTCTTGGTAGTCTAAGAACACGTTTTGGGCAATCAGTCTCAGTCCATTCTTCGGCAACTACGGTGCAAGGCCGATACTGTAGAAACTTGCATTTTGTACCCTTGACCTGACCTTGACCTGACCTCTGACCTACTTAAGCAAAAAATTTTGGGCTCTTAAGATCCGCCTTGTTGAGAGCTTTCGATTGCCGTTTTCCCCGTCTTTCTACGACCATCGGTTCGGAAGTTAGACAGGGGGGGGGGGCAGAATCTGCCCCCCCCCCCCCCCAGCAGGGCGCGTATGGCTGAATAGCCCAGCGGGGCGCGGGTTATATGTCAGCTGACGGTCCCAATGTTGCGTAATGAAACTTCACAGGGACTGAGTTCTTGCTGTAATTGGATCCACAATCGAAGTAGGTACATATAACTAACAGCTGTTTTGTTTTGGCTTTTCGCTTTTAATTTGTTTATGTTTTGTATCCACGTGGCACTGGTTTGGTTTAAGCATTGCTCATGTTATTTTTGTTTTAAATATGTTTAATTTATTAAGGCATATGTAACTCTCCCTTGTTTTCCTTCTCATTAAACTGAATTGCTTTTAATATTTCTCAACTCATTCTTTGTAGAAGCTCCGACTGAAATGTTGACCTTTTTATTTTCCTCGTTGGCTCACAACGTGACTAGGGTACTCATTCTGGAAAGCTTTTTGCAGCAGCCAACAGCCTTCTGGATTATATCATCAGATTAAGTGAATGCATTACGAGAACAGACAACGACCATGTCTATGAATTCTAAACAGAGCTGAGCAAAACGGAGCTCTTCCACGAGCTCTCCCACGAATTCAACTTTAAACTCCAGTCTAATTCTGATTATTCCAACTCCTTCAGTAATCAAACCCTGACCACTGGCGTTCCCAAATCCTAACCCCGATTACAGCGCTCCACCTCGGCTGCAGTCCTGATCTCGGGACTCGGTGTACCCTTTGACCTTTACCTGGATAATTTTAAACACTCTGAGGTCACGATTTTCTCCATCATGCGTGTGCGTGTGTGCCGTCCATCCGTTCGCAGAGATGGGGGTGGGTGGGTGGGGGGGGGGGGGGTGGGGGGATGGCCCTTCACTTCGCCATGTCGCAACGGCCACCCGGTCTGGCCAGGCGCAGGATCAGTCTCTCTCTCTCTCTCTCTCTCTCTCTCTCTCTCTCTCTCTCTCTCTCTCTCTCTCTCTCTCTCTCTCTCTCTCTCTCTCTCTCTCTCTCTCTCTCTCTCTCTCCTCTCTCTCTCTCTCTCTCTCTCTCTCTTCCATCCCTCTATCTATTAACATCTATCTCCTCTCATTCACTCTCTCTTTCTCATCACTCTCTTTCTCCCTCTCTCCTGTCAGTGTGCAGAGCTACGTCGACCAACTGACGGTAATGAGGTCACGGGTCGACAGGGTCGCAGGGGTCAACTGAGAGTGGCTCCGGGTTCCGGGAGAGACGAGTCTCAGTGGCTGCACCCGCTCGCCGCTCCGCCGATCAACTGAGACCGAGCTCTCTGGTGTTTAGATGATGGCCCGACAATCTGCGGTAGAAACCATTACAGCTACCAGTTTCTGCGATTAGTCGGTTACGGAGAGGCTTGGGATTAGGGTGGTTGTGGGGAGACTTTCACGCTCAAGTGTGTTTCTGAGTAATGAGCGTCTGAGTGGCTAGGCAGGCCACTTCAAATGGAGAAAAGCTGCTCTAATCAGGTCGTTTCAGGTTGGTGTTCTCGTGTGCCTTCACATCTGTCGTGCAGGTTCGTTGGTGGCTTGTTCAACCCTGTGATGTTGCATGCTGTCTGTCGCGTGCATTACGGTACAGGGGAGTTCCAGGAAAGAGTGGCTATCATCGGATCTCAACGAGCACGTTGTCTTGTCCATCGAAAAGCCTACATCTTGTGACAAAGTAGCAATTCACTGTTGGCTCGGATGGAAATGCATGCTTGGCAGGATGACCTATCAGGTTTACAGAGGCAAGTAACGGTACCCGACATCTGCTGGCAAATCTTTAGATCCCGGATGTGAGTCGCGGACCGCACATATGTTCTGGCACAGGTCCAGGACTTTGTACGCAGTACGCACTCGGAACTGTCCAACCGAAAGTCGGTGACTCTTAGCTCTGAACAAACTCCTGGACAAAGTCGATACCACAAATTCGGCGGCCAAGTTTTCCTGACACGCACCATGCTCTCAGGGGAGCATCCTCGG